TTCATGAAAATACAGAATGGGGGGGGAGCATCCAGTTTGAGGTTATCTGAACATACCAATGTAAATAAAAATTGAAATATTGTTATAAATGCCTAAAAAGGACAAGTAAACATTTACACAACATCTAGTGCTTAAGTGCATAAGTACAGCCTTACTGCTTTCATAAAACTAAGAGGTACTGCTAATCAAATCCACTTCATTTATATTCAGCAAGCTTGAGCACCTCTATAAATGCAGAAGCTTTGTCAGTTTGCCGCTCTGGAGCAATCGGGTGCGTATTCAGACAATTCCACAATCATCACAGGAGCAGCAATTCACCCCATAGATTGGAGCAAGCAGACAGAGTCAGTAACTCCAGAAAGCTCATGACTCCTCAGACTCTACAGGCCTCGGTTAGCATGTTATTTGATAACAGTACAATTAGACAAAGACTGATCAAGTATTGCGTGTTAGGAAGAGTTTGAGGACACAGCCTCTTGTCTCTGAAAAGAACATGGCAGTGCAGTTTAGTTTTGCAAAGCTGAATCTGAATAAACAATAAGAAGTTGTTTTAGGACTTTAAGAGAACTGCATGAATTAATGCCATAAAACTGGATGAATCAAATGAAATTTATTGTAGAGACAGGGGATTCTGCAAGGTACTCAAACATAGTGTGTACTGCACAGTCCTGTCAACCTTTGCACAAAATGAGGCAAAGCATCAGTATCCTGACCTGTTGCCTCTTAGCTCAAAGAAAGCATCAAATTTGAACTCAGTAACATGAACAAACTCTAACAAATTTAATGGTAAAAAATAAAATGAACATGATTTAGAAAAGTATTCTTATTTACTGTGTACATGTTTGTCATAAAGTGCCCCACAGCTGAAACACTGTTTTCTTTTATTGCACAAAGCCCACATATGTCTCACCTGTGAGGTTACAACATTATTCAAGGGTTTTAAAACATCTGCACACCTGCAGTCCTTAACAAAGCCACACATTTACAAAAATAAAAGCATTAAAGTGGTTAAAACACTTTTTAGGAGTTTTTTTTTTATTTCTAAATTTTATTTTATTTTTTACAGCGGTAGAAAGATATTGTTATGCTTATTTTTTAACAACATTCAGGTAGTCATGTTTGAAAAACAGTTTTCAGAAACCTGCAGAAAACCCGTTTTAACACGTAAAGTTAATACATGATATCTGGAGAATATTTGTGGTTTTTAGTGATTTTTCAAAAATGTATGCAAGTTTCCTCCCTACGATCTATCAAGTCAAGTCTCTCACTGTAATAGGATGGCATCAGGACTTATTTCAAGCAGCACGAGTGCTGACTGACGGCACAAAGTCAGTCCCTGAGAGTCAAAATGAATCTGCACACGAACGAGTGTGCTGAGTCATGTGACTCACAGTTTATGACCTTTACATGTTTGCTGTTCAAAGGAAGACTGTAAGACTAAAGTGGAG